TCATAGAATCACTTAGGTTGGAAAAGCCCTCTGAGATCATCGAGTCTAACCCTCAACCCAGCACTGCCAAGGCCACCACTGACCCCCTGCCTGGGCTGAAACATCCTTCATTATCCATGGGTGCACAGCACCCACAGTGCTGCTGGGTGTAGGGGCAGCCTCCAGGGTGTCCCCTCCCATGGGGATGCTCTACCACCTCCTGCTTGGCTGCAGTGTCCCCTTTCCAGGGACAGAGGGTGGATATCAGGGCAGTGTGGGGGTGACAACATATGGGATGGTGTTGACCAGGTTCAGGGTGGCAGGAGCAGGGTGCAGGTGGTTACAGGCTACAGGGAGGCAGTGACAGGGTGCAGGATGGCAGTGGTGACAGGGTTCAGGGTGGTGGCGGCAGGGTGACAGTGGTGATGGGGCGCAGGGTAGCAGTGATGGGGTACAGGGTAGCAGTGGTGACAGGGCACAGGGTGGCACTTCTGTCACCGCTCTTGGGGAGCTGGAGTTCAACCCTGTCCTCCCCACTACAGAAGCAGTATGGCCACCCCACAACCCTGACCTCCCCACTACAGAAGCAGTATGGCCACCCCACAACCCTCCCTGCTGTCCTCCGAAAACGCTTCTGTGAAAACCTGCGCTGCACCAAAGCCCAGCGAGGGAAACACTTGGTTCCCTCCCTCTCCCCAGCAGCTTCAGGGCCGGTTTGTGCCCCCTCCCCGCCTCTCTCCCAACCTGGCAGCGCCCCCCCTCTCGCAGTGTTGGGGTTCCGCGATGGGACACGCGGGGCCGTGCGGGGGGGGGCAGCCCCCGATGGGGCCGGGCCGGGGGCGGGCGGGACGGGTTGGGCCGTCCCATTTCCTCCAGAGCTGCTGCCGGGACGGGGCTGCGGCACAGAGGTGAGTCGGGGGGTACCCGGGAGAGGGGGAAAGGGGGTCCCAGGGCTGGGCTTCTCTGGGCGTTATCCTCGGCTTTGTGTTACCCAAATCCAGGGCTTTCCTCTCTCTCTCTCTTTTTTTTTTTTTTTTAAATAAGTTTTTAAGGACAAATCATCTGCTTGGCTGGGTGAAGTGGGGTGGCAGCGGGGCAGGGGCGGTGGGGACGGTGGCACGGGGGATATGGTGATTAGGAGCGACCAGTTCTCAGGGAACGAGTGTCAGGGGTGTCCTGCCCATCAGCCAGGGGCTGAGGCTGCATCCACACATTTTGAACAGCACGGAACCCTAGAACGGTGTGGGTTGGACGGGACCTTAAAACACCACCTAGTTCCAACCCCCCTTGCCGTGGATTAGGGACACCTTCTGCTAGACCAGGTTGCTCCAACCTGCTTGCTGCCTAACCTGGCCCCTGATACATTTCCGGGGATGGGGCAGCCAGAAGTTTTCTGACAGCCCTCTGAGCCTCTTGTGACCAAACCCGCACGCGATCCACCCCGGGGAGGGACACGGGTGGGGGCTGCTGCCCGCCCGCACTGCCTGTGCCGTGGTTTGGAGGAGCCCGGGACGGCTCAGAGGAGCTCCCGGTGCTCTCGGGGGTGACAGTGGCGCTCACCTACACTCAGAGCTGGTCTCACGGCCAGAGTCACCAGATCCCGGGCCGGCGGCAGCCGTGCGTGTGCGGCCGGTGATGACGAGTGGGCTCCAGGCAGCGGCTTGCAAAATAGTTTCACTTTAACCCTGTTATCCAACATTCGTATCAGTAGTTTTCCAAATCGCTCCCTATAGGGGATGAAAGAATCTACGTGTGGCTCCCGGCAGGAAGGTTTGATGGTGGTGGGAATGAGACGAAGCTGTCGCTGCTCGTGTTTGCTGGGTGGTGGCTTTCGGTGTTTGCTTTTTACGATTGAGGAAGGTCTCCGTAGCCTGCTGCGGGTTCTGGGAGACCGACGGCAGAACTCTTTCTTAGTCACCATTTCCGAAACAGCAACGTGCAATCCCTGCTAAGGAAACTGCACACCCTCGGTGTCAGGTTTCATCCAGTTTTCCTTTAAGTCTGCAGGTGCAAAGTGGGAAAAATAGATGCCACTCTTGTGACAGCATAGCTGCGTCTCCGCTGGGTGTATCAAGGGAGCTCACAGGCTGCGACAGCAGAATTAGCCTCTCCCAGACGGCCCCATAGCTGTCAGTGCCATGAAAAGTCGGTATAAAGATGACATAAAGTCAGAAACAGAAGGAAATAGTTGTGTTAGTAATGTGATTCCTGCTCTGCACTGCTTAGCAAGTTGTCAGTTATCCCCCGGAGCTGCCCCTGCTCTCACCATGGGTTCAGGGGGCACCTTAGAGCAGCCCCGTTCCTGCCTGAGCCAGGCAGCATCTCAGCTGAGAGGAGCAGGTTGAGCTTTGTTAGGCTGGAGGGAACGTCATGCAGACCTAAGAGCCTGTTGAGGGTTGAGCCTAAAGAACTTCACCAGCAAAATCAGGTCCTAAACCACCTCCATCTCCCTCCCCTCTGCCATGGTGACCCAGCGTAGCAGTTTGCAGCTTTTCTGCAAGCTCTACCTCCGTGTCCCCGGTTGCGGTCGCTCTGCAGTGCACAGGATGTGGAGAAGCCAGCATTGCCAAGGCAACCCCTCTGTTTTGGTTTCCCCACACCGGGGCTGGCAGCCTTTACCCCTCCCCTCAGCCAGGCAAGCCCTGTGCGCCGCCGACGGTTTGCGGTGCCATCGCACACCAGCCCTCAAAAGGGAGCTTGTTTTCCACCCACGGCCGCCCGTAACTCCGGAGGAGTGGCACACGTTCCCCACCCTTGCAAACTGGCTCTTTCGAAGCCAACGTGGATTAAAGGGCCTCGTGTTGGATTAAAACTTACACAAGTGGCACAGAGCCTCCCCACGCAGAGCTGCTGTCAGGCGGAGCCGTCCATCCCTGGCCACACGAGTTCCCAGGCGAGTTTCCATGTCAGCTTTCCCCTCACTCTGCCAGCACGGGCTGCCCAAAAACAAAGAGCTCATTTAGCAGGGTGCTTCACTGCCCTCCCCAAGACACAGCCCTGTCTCCCAGTGCCTCCCTGGCCCTGTTTCTTTGGCCCATATCTTGACCCAAAAACCAGCTGGCCTCCCAGTGGCAGCTCCATGTGCTTTGGGCAGGCGGTCCGCACCCATCCCGGACCACAGTGAGGATGCAGCTGTCCCCGTTCATCCCTTCTCTGAGGGGAGATGTTGCTGTTGCACCAAACTGAGCAGCAGCACGGATTTTTCCTAAATGCATCTCCTCACTGTGCACTTGGGCTTTCAGCTGGCCTTGGGTAACTCCTCTGCCCTTGGAGCTGCTGGCTCCAAAGACACCAGTTTTTCTACTTTCCCCTCACCACTTCTTTTTTTTTTTCCTTTTTTTAATATGAAGAACCCCTTTCTTTAGCACACAGACATCCCTTCATCTACAAAACAAAAAGCAATGCACGCACCAAAAAGAAAAAGCATTTGAAAAGCAACTGTACAACACTGCTGGGAGATAGCCCTTGGGATTGGGGTGCTGCTTGCTCAGGGTGATGGCAGGTACCTCCACCTTCCCCTTCCAAGGGATGCTCAGCCACATCCGGGCTTGCCCAGGGTGGCCACACATCCCCAGCTGGGCACTTCCCAGGAACAAACAGCCACGGCCTCTGCGGCACATTCAGCTCCGGTTTGAAGTGGAAACATTTCAAAGGCCTTTTTTTTTTTTTTTTTTTTTTTTTTTTTTTTTTTTTTTTTTTTTTTTTTTTTTTTTTTGCTTTTTGCTTTCTTTTTTTCCTCTGCAAACAATTAATTACAAGTTTAAAAGGAAGTTCCAGCCCTCTTTCCCTCCCCAGAAGTTTTAGAGGCAATAAATATAAAGCAGCTCCAACGCAGGAATAAAATTGTATATCCTGTTTTGTCTGAAATTAAGGCGGTTGTTGTTTTGGGGTTGTTTGGTTTTTTTGACTTCTTTTTTGGAGTCAAGTGTATCGTAGGCGTCCAGTATTCCTGCCTGGATAACAAGCTGTCAGGGTATTTATGGATAAATGGCAAACCTGCACCACTTGGATGATTCAGGCTGAGGAAGAGCTGCTCTGTTTGTTTGTGTTGCAGTTTAACCTTTACTACGGCTGCCCAAAAAAAATAAAAAGCCTCGGAGAGGATGAAGGTCAGGACAGGGAGCAGCTTTAAGAGGTGGCTCTTGCTTATCTCCCCTGTGAGCAAAAGCAGATCTGGGATGCTCCCCCACTGGCTCCAGGCAGGGGGTAGGAAGAGGATGGGCCAGATTTGAGTCTCTGAGTGGTAGCCCATGATTTTCTCAGGTGGGGATGGTGATGATGTTATTGTCCTCTGTTGAGTGGCATGAGGGAATGTGGGGAGAAGCTGCTTTCCCAAGGCTGGGAAGCTGCTCAGCAACAGGGTGGAAAAGGCTCTTCTGCCTCTCACAAGAGCACCCCACCTTTCTGAGTGCAAGCCATTCTGCTTGTCTACGTCCCAAAAACCCCCACTCTATATGTGTATTTATATAGATATATATATATAAATTCCTTTTCTAACAAATGGAAACTGGAAGATGCAAGCAGACTGGTCAAAAATCCAGCAGTAATAATAATAATAATAATAATAATAATAATAATAATAATAATAGTAAACTTCTTGCAGCCAAAGGCCAAACCACCTCCCAGAGCGCTGCATTTCATTTGGTAAATCTCAAATGAGAGTTTCTTTTTAAAAGGCACCCACAGAAATTCATGTTCAAAAAAGAAACCACCAGCTAATTGGGGCCAGCTCAGCTGCGCTCCTGTGCAGAACAAAACAATAGATTTTGTGAGGGGCACGGAGGATAAGCCCCTTACTTTTAACAGGATTTGAGCACTTCTAGAATTCCAGATTGAGAGTTCAGTGTCCCTGCTGGGGGATTCATCTTTTGGGGTCCTGGCAGTCAGATGCAAAAACCAGCAGCCAGGAGTGACTGGTGAAAAAAGACCCCGCACAGCTTTGTAACTCCCAGGACAGTGTTTCCAAAGGGAGGTTTTCCCTGAGGAGCCACCTTTCTGGAGGCTGCTCAGCATCTCTTGCCTCAGCAGCAGCACGAGGGCTGTGGTTAGGGCTGGGTGGGACTGGTGGTTCCTTTTTTGGGCGAGGCTGGTGGCTCGGTAGTTCGTTAGAAGCGTGGTGTAATTGCAGAGCGAAGGGGGAGGATGCGCAGTGCACGTGCTGGCTGGTTGAACCAGAGGATCCCAAAATGCTCCATGCAAGAGAGCATCCCTTAGCAGGTGCCACAGCGGGAACAAACGGGATGCAAAGCAAGGAAGGGCAGTGGAAGGAAGGGCAAGGAGGATTTAGATGGAAGCAGCCCCAGCCTGGGTCCCCCTGTCCCTCCCCCAAGGTCCCCAAGCTCTGTGAGAGCTGCTGAGAGAAAGCCAAGGAGCTGGTGTCACAGGGACAAGTGGAGCGACCCCTCTGGGACACCTTTGGAATTCAGACTGTACCTTTCAAGGTTTTGTTACGTGGAAGTGCTGGTTTTCCTTTGACTGTGCCTCGGTTTCTCCTCTTGGGCAGGTGGGGATTTCAGCTTTCCCTCAAGAGGCCGCGGGGCTTCAATCTCAAAGGCTGGCAAAGACGCTGATGTAAAATGCTGAGTGAGGGTGAAACAGGGTGTTAGAGCCTGATACTGCCCCTGCCAGCTCCTCATCTGTACAGCCTCTAATTCTGTGACCCCTGTGTTGAACCAGAACTGCAGACTCACAGCACAAAGCTCCCTGACCTACTCAGACCCCCCTGGGAGCTTTGCCTGGCCCCAGGGGAAGAAGAAAGCCTGAGCAGAGGCAGCAGCTCCCTGCCCCTGCAGGAGGGCTTCCCTGGGAGCCCTGCCACTCAGCAGCACCTCTCCCTCCCTGAGGGAAGAGGAAAACCTTACGTCAGGCCACAGAAATGCTCCTCAGCCCTACCCAAACCCTTGGAGCAATTCCCAGGTGAGGCACGGCAGCAGCAGCTCCTCCATCCCCAGCCAACCCTTATATCCTCCCCTGCTGCCACCTTTGTGGCCAGCCCTGGGTGCAAGGAAGGCAGCCCGTTGGGGTCCACCCACCCGAGCAGCGCCTGTGAGTCCCATGACCATAGTCCATCAAAAATCCAGGTGGTTTCACCACAGCTCCCACCCCAAACCTGCTGGCAGTGCCCTGAGTGTCGGGGCCTCTAGGCTGCCCATCCCAGCCCACGAGAAACAGTCTGTCCAAGGATACCATCCCAGGATGGATCAGGGGTAAGGGGAGACCTGTGACATGTGGAGTCCCAGCTCCAGTGGCAGCACTGCTCTCCACAGTGGTCCCTTGCCAGGATCAGGCAAGTCCCTTCCTAGACAGCAAAGCTCCTCCTGCAGACAGTATTTCCTCTGGTGAGAAACAAACCCTACAAAGGGCCTGTAAGAGCTCAGTGCTGTTGGTGCTCAGCGAGGGCTGAGTTGTAAGTGCAGAGGGTCAGGATTTGTGCTCAGCCAGATGCCAAGGCAAGAAGGGATGCCCAAAGCCGTCCTTGTCCATCCCCACCACCAAAAAAGAATCCTAGGATGTAGAAGGCTGTGTTTCTCAGATGGAGAAACCCAAAGGGACATGGCAGGCAGCACAGTCCATCCCCCATGACCCCAGACCCCTCTAAGGCAGGAGACATCTTACCCTGCAGAGGCTTAGGCTGTGCTGGCAGCTCCCTGGAGAAAACTGCTGAGGGAGCAGACACCTGATCCATGTAGTTTCTTGTCTCTGCAGGCACCATCCCAGGACGCTTGTGGAGCCCACGAGCTGCTTCCAGGAGCTGAAGGTATCCCAAGGGACCTTTGCAGAGCAAGCAGCCTACTCAGGAGCCGACATGCAGCAGAAGATCAGCTCTTTCTTTAATTCCATCTTGGAACTCATCCGTACCAAGCACGAGGAAGGCATCTTCAACACCGTCTGCCTAGCCGTGCTGCTGGGACTGCCCTTGGTCGTCCTCATCGCCTTCATCTTCATCTGCTGCCACTGCTGCTTCTGCAGACGGAGGAGAGAAGGCTCCAGGAAAGGTGGCCCCAGCAGCAATGGGCAGCTGCACGCCGAGAGGAACAAGAAGAAAAAGAAGAAGAAGAATAAGAAGCAGGATGAAGAGGACCTGTGGATCTCTGCTCAGCCCAAGCTGCTCTTGCTGGACAAGAGACCCTCCCTGCCCATCTAGCAGACAGGAGGGTGTTCAGGCCCTCTCCTCTGAGATGCCACCAGTCCTTACAGCTGTGCACCAGGAGGGGCAGGGAGATGCCAAAGCTGCTGCCACTTTTTGTGGTGACTTTCTACAGAGGCTGAGCCCAGCATGCTGAAGGGCCAGCAGAGAGCAAGGCAGGCGGGCACAGGTTATACAAGCCCCTTCTCCCCACCATGACAGCGTGGCCAGGGGCAGAGACCCCTGCAGAGGACAGGTGAGCACGCAAGGGGGACCTGCCACCGGGCCACATGTGCCTCCTGCCACGAGCACAGTGCACAGTCACCAGGCTGGCACCCAGGGAACAGGGGGGAGGCTCTCCCTCTGTTTGTATGCAAGCAGAGGCACTGTGGCACAGATGGGGGTGCACAGGACAACGGGCACCCAGAGACCACCTGCACGCTCCCCCTGCTCAAACACGGACAGCCACGAGTGAGGCAGGCACAGACACGCCTCATCTGCTGGCCCTGCCGTGGAGATGGCACGGCTTGACTGCCTGGGCTCCGTCCAAACCCAGCTCGCTTTGGAGATGCAGAGAAAGCCGTTACCCCCCAGATGTGCCAAACCCAAAGATGTGCCATCGCCCTGGCTACCAAACCAAAGGCACCTGAGAGCATCTGAAGCCAGATGCCCTCAGCCCAACCTTAGAGACCTCATGACACCATCCTAAGGCAGCACAGCAGAAGGATGCCTGGCCACCCAGGCCAGAGGCAGGGACGAGAGAGGAGGCTGCCAGACCAGCCCTTTTGCACCAGCACTTAAAAAAACCCCTTCCCTGAAAGACTGTTTTCTACAAACTTGCCATTAAAGAGCCCACCACGCTACTGCAAGAGCGGAAACACAAGCTGAGGCTGTGTAAAAGCTTAGCTATGGGCATTAAGAGTTATTTATTGAATGACTACTAAAGAAGAGCAGGACCAAAGGCCCCTCTGGAGCAGGGCCGGGCACACCGAACCGGTATCGAAGCAGCAGAGATGCTTTCCTGGCACACTCAGCCGTCCCCTCACCCTGCAGCCCTTGTGCCACTCAGAGCCACGAGCTGATGCCACGTGGGCACCTCGGTGTGCCACACTGGGGGCTTCTCCACAGCTGTCAGGCTGGACAGCTCTGGGGTTTGGAATGTGTTGTAGGAGCAAAGTAAAGCCCATGTCCACTGTCATCCCTTACCCAGGGATGCATCGTACAGCTGGACCCTGCACCCCTGTCCATCCCCATGTCCCCTGGGACAGTGGCTCAGCCAGGCACAGCAGCCAGTGGAACCACATACAGCTCTCACCCCTGCTCTGGTTTCGTCACTGCTCCCCTAGAGCTGTGTGCCCACCCGTGGGCTGGGAGTCTCCTCTGTCTCTCCCCTCCACCATCTCCAGCTCCCCCAGCTTGTTTGACCAAGCAAGAGATGCATGTGTGTGTGACAAGAAGCCTCACCGCATCTGGGTTTTTTTGCCCTGTCTGTACACTGGATGCCTTCCTTCCGTTTTCTTTCAGTTCCCAAGCAGACGAGAGCTGCCAGGCAGAGCCAGACATCTGGGGAACAAGCAGCCAAACCCACGTGGGCTGCCGGACACAACCTGCTTCCAGCCCAGGCAAGGGCGAGGCCACCTTCCCCTGGCCCGGGGGATAAAGCCACCGCCTGGAAGCGGCTGCTTGTGCCACCCGCTCCCGGCACAGCCTGTTTTGTCCGACACAGGCAGGGCCGGGATGGCCACACCACGTCACGGGGTTTGGCTGCAATGTGGCTGTGCTGGGAACAGCCTCCTCCTTCTCACACAGCCCTTTAAATTGACCCCATATGTGCCTTATTTTCCAGCCTGCTTTGTTACCACTGAAATTAGCGAGTCCTTTCTTCTCCAAAACAGGAAGCAATGCATAATGGTATAAAAAATTAGGATTTGCCACATGTAATCCTAGGATTACACACAGGAATGGCTCTGGTCTCTGTCCCAAACACCCAGTCCAGCCAGAATCCTGCAGAATTAGCACTGCACTCGTATCATTCCTTTTTCCTTTCCTCCTTTCCCCCAACCAGGTACTTTTGCCAGCCCTCCTGCCTCCCTGCTCAGCGGGTGGCCAAAGCAGCCTCCTCCTGTGGGCAGGAACGCTGCCCATGCAGGTGCTCCTGCTGCGCACCAGAGGCACGAGCAGCCCTGGAGGCAGGGTGGTGCTGCCTGGAGGAACTGAAAAAAATAATCAGAGTAAAGGGAAACACCATGGGAGGCCAGAAGCTTCCCAAACAAGCAGAGGCATGGAGGCAGCCAGACCAACAGAGCACAGCCTACCTGGTGTGGAGGTGCTGGGCTTTTCAGGGCTCCTTCTCTAGAAGGGATAGCAGGTAACATGTCAGGCGAGGGCAACCAATTCCTACAAGAATGAGAGAACTGCCAAGAAAACGTGTTACATCACACACATCTCCAGACCCAGGCTTTGGGGAGCTCAGAGTCAGGTCTGAATTTCAAGAGCTCCCCAAAATGATCATTCAAACCACCACCAGCCTAGGCAGGGAGGGACCAGGATATCACCTTGACCTGATCCATCTGACCAGCAAATGGTCCAAGCCTCCTGACCCCAAAAAAAGCGCTGGGGCTGGCTCCAGAGGTGCATGGGAGACAAATTCTGCTGTACAGCCCCCCCTCTCCAGACACCTCCGCACTGCCTCCCCCATCTGCATTTCAGTATCAGCCTTCAAGTTGCCTAAACAAATCCATGCAACAGGGAGGAAAAAACAAAACGAGTTTTGTGCAATTTCTTTTTTTTTTTTTTTTTTTTAACTAAAAATAAATTGCTCTCAAACTGCAAACAAACTCTGTGTCTCTGTCTCTCGGCCGGTTTATTTTCGTGGGGAGATCTTTCCTGTATCTGTGTCCTGGCCCTAGATAAGAGAGGGAGAGAGCTCAGCAGGCAGAGGCCGTGCAGTCTGTGCCTGCAGCCAGCTGTGCAGCTCAGAGACATTTCCTTAAAGAAACAGCTCAGCTTAATCAAGCTGAGTGGCCTTGCCTTGTTAATGAGCACAGCCAAGCTCCTCCACCCAAGGGCAAAAAGTAGTGGGAAGAAGGAAAGCTGTGTTTGTGGTGCAGGAGGTGGGATGCAGAGGGGGTTTTTTTATTCCTTGCAGAGAGGATCAGCAGCATGGGCTGGTCAACCCCAGTTGGTTTTGATCAGACAAAGTGTCTGCAGCTTGCTGTCTGTATTGGGCAAGTGCCAGAACAGCTCTGCTGGGCAGAGACTTTCCAAATCCTGCACCACTGAGGGTGCAAATTAAAAACCTGCTTCTCACCTGGATGAGGCACCAAGCTGCACCTTCCAGAGGGGTGTAAGAGGTGTCAGGACCACAGCAAGGAGCAGCTAGAAATGGCAGAGGCACATCTGTGGGGGGAGGAGGCAGCACTGCACACTTTGCTTCTCTCCAGATGTCAGACGTGGGATTCAGGGCCAGGTGTTCTCGGGTAGCCTGGGCTGCAGAGGGAAAGGACAGAATCTGGATGCCAGGCTAGAAACATGCAAGGATTGAGATGAAGTTCAGCATCCTGGAGCACTCCAGAGATTGAGGGGAAGCAAAAGTCACCCCAACAGGCCCAATAAATCCCTCTATGAGGAAAGAACTGGATCTTCACTGGCTGTTCCACTATTTATTCAGCCAACACAGCATAGAGCAGCAACCAAAAGTAACACCACCGCTTCCCAAGCAAGTGCCCAGTGCAGGAAGACACTGGAGTCTTCTCTCCAAATCACACCATAGGGGAAGAGGCATCCTCTCCCTCCTCCTCCTGGGTAAATGCAGCAGCATCCCCAGACATGTCACAACACATGGGTCCTGGCTGGTAGGACCCAGCAACAGGACAATCCTCATTAACACAAGGATGCCAAAGCAGAGAGGATCCCCCCTGTGGGATTCAAATTTCTGCCCCTGGGAGTGTTGCAAACCAGTATATAAAATTTAAGTGATCTCAGAGCAAGGCAGAGGTTTCAAGAATGTTTTGGCCCTCCAGCATTACTGTCACCAGGCCGGTTATTGCAGCAAAACAAGGGTAGTAAGAGTATGTGACATTTTTATGGAACTACCCATCAACTACTACCAGCCTGAGCCTCAAAACCAGAACAGCCAGTTCCTTAAGGCAAACAAGCTGCATTATCTGAGCGGTCCCAGCCTCTCAGGCTGTAACACAGACTCGTTAACCCCAAAAAGGTCTTTCCGAAGGCGCCAGCTGGGTACGGGGAAGTTTTTCCTGCGCTAGAGTGAAGAGACGATGCCATCCTGTGGCTGTTCGGGAATAATGACTTCTCACTGTAGCATTCCAGCAGCCGCCCCTCTGGCTGCCCTTCCTGGATGGAAGAAGGGCGAATAATCAGGAGCAACGAGTAAACCCTCCTCAGAAACTGCAACGAAGGTGTCTCATTTGCCTTTAGCTCTGAAGTACAAAGCTCACACAGTTTAAGAGAATATTCCCTGCTTCCAGGTGGGATTGTATGTTGTCCCTGCATGTGAAAGAGCTGTAGGGAACAATCACACCTGCAGTTTTTTAAGAGCACAGACTTATTTTTAGAGGGGCTGTGCGTGAGATTAGTCCTCCTCTCCCTTTCAGTCTCTCCTTCCTGATGACTTCACTGTGCCCTTTAACTGAACAGACTGAAACCTGTCCTTGCCTACAGACAAGTGGGCAACAGGGAGAAAGCACTTCACAGTGAAGAGCCCTCACCACCTTCCTGTGTCCCTCTCCCGTGCTCTTAGCACAGAGCCTGCAAAACACTTCAAGTGCCATTTTCCTTCCCTCTCCTCTCACCATCAGTCTCCTCCTTCCCCCACCTTGGATATCCCAACAGAGCTCTGATGAGCCTCTGCCTGCCCACCCACACAAGAGCCACAGCCCTGAAAGTTCTGTGAAGAATTTAGTTCTCACCTTTGGGAGACAACTCTCTGGCTCACTCTCCTCAGCCAAGTCCCAGCAAGCACAGATCAGTTAAGTGCTTCACAGAGTCAGGTCACCAAGAGATCACACAGTGCCTCTCCCTGTTTTGGAGCAGACCCCCAAAGACATAATTTGCAGAGCCCCACTCTGGGACTGAGTAATTCTCTCTCTCTCTCTCCATACAAAATGCTTCGTTTAAATGGGAGGAAAAATAATTCTGCCACCCTTACCAAAGAAGACAGAAATATTTTAAGACCCTCTTTATTTGCAATTTTATTATTTCCTCCAAAGTCTGGGAAGGATTCTCTAAAATTAATTACTCAGCTTAGCACTGGGATAGAAAAGGCCATTAAGACATAGGACATGCAATGTGTTCAGACAAGGAAGCCTTTGGGCAAGCAGCATTGGGTGAGTTCATCCTTCTTCCCTGGCTGGAGCTGGTGGTCCAGAATTTTAATATCTGCCCAGGGAAAGAAAATAAACCTCACCTTTATGACCGAGTTAAAACAAAAAAAGCAGCCAAACGTGAAACCATGCTCTGGGGCTCGAGGGAAAGCGTGCAGGATCAGTTTAGCTCCGAGAGATGCTCATTTTAGAGGTGGATGACAAGCGTCATCATTTCAGCATCACTACCTGCCACGCTGCTAATGAAAAAGCAGAAGGCAGCAGATGGAACAGTCACATCAAGAATTTTGTTCATGGTCTGTAAGCAGCCTCTTCGGCAAGCAGAATGGAGAGACAGGTTTGGGGTGGTGAGCGCAGCTTGGAAGAGAGGAGCCCTTACACTCACCCTGAACATCAACTTAACTGCACAGCTCCTCAGGTTTTCATTTGGGCCGCAAGAGACAAGAAGACACAAGCAAAATAGGATTTAACCTGGAGAGATGCAATACTGGAGGCTGAAGGACCCAGTCTACAGAACTCGCCTGGCAACATTTCCCAAAACCCAGCTCTGCAGGAAGAGTAGGGAATGTCCCCAGATATAACATGGGGAACCACAGACCAAGAAAGGGAGAGGGAACAGTCTCAGGAAAGCTCTCCCCAATGTAAATTTGGGGGGCTATTGTTTGTTCATGGGTTCAAATTTAATTTTTTGAAGTTGGAGGTGGATGGCACCAGAGAAAGACAGAATGAAGAGGAGTCTGCAGCCTGGGTTTCAGAAGGAACAGCACGTGTTAAAGCCTGTTTTACATAAAGTTCATCACAGTTGCATATATTGGATCAAGCAGGTGCTCATCATGTTTAGCCAACAGGCCACTTACAGGCAGGATGCTCCCCAAAAGCCCCATCCCAGCCTCTGGGAGATCACCCATCAGGAGCTCCAAAGGCTGGAAGTGGGATGTGGTTGCAGATCCAGATGTCCCTGGGTGCACGCTGGTCAGTGGTTGTCCCCAGGGTTTTGGAGAAAGCTGTCTAAAGTGAGCTTTGGTAAGAAATATTCCATCATCATCCTGCACAGGGTTCGATTTAAGCCCTGATGCCCTTCCTCTTCCCTGACAAAGACCTCTTCTTCCTCCCCAGGACTGCCTCATTACTGGATGACTGAGGACGGATCTTCATCTCTGTAAAAGGAATGGAGAATTCATGGCCTTTCCATGGCTCCCAGTTCACACCTTGGGAACACACCAAGGAATTTCTTTTACTGAAGTGCCCAGACCAGGTGCTAGGAGTCTACTATGGCCCCCCTCTAATACCATTTAACCCTCCAATACACAGAGACCCTAATTATAATCAGTCTTTCAGATACTCCTAATATAAATCAAACCTCTATCCACTTTGGAGCACAGCAGGACTGGAGCCATCTTCAAGCCCAAAATAAGCCTGTACAGCAAGATGCACCCCAGGCATGCACTGAAAGCCAAGGTACATGTGAGACAGTGAGCCAGCATCCTAGTGAGGCTCCTTTAGGTGTTCCCCTCAAGACAGCTCCACCTCAAATATCCCTGCCCACAAGAATCAGGGAGCCAGGAGCTCAGATCCTCTGGATGCAGAGAGAAAAAGCCACAGCACAGCAGAGGTCTGCACACTGATTTCTACAGCACTGCTATTGGAGGGCATGTCCAAGGGCTGGATCCTCCCAGCTGAAGATCTAAGCCTTATAGCAAGGGGGATATTAAAGGATAAGTGGAAGCCTATGGACACAATGGCAGGGGTAAGGATTTACCAGTGGCAGAAGCCAGCACTGCTGTTGAGCAAACGCCCATCCTGAATAAAAGCCACTTTTTTATCCACTCTTAGCTGGGGAGCCCCAGAAGTGTCTGCCCCATCAGCACTGGTTACCTCATGGAAATGCTTCCCAGTTTGCCTTTTCATTTCCCTGGGTTACAGAGCACTCTCTTCCCTATAAAAAAGTAACTCTTTCTCCTGTCTTCAACATGAGACAGGCCTATGGGTACGCTCTCCTCAGTCTTGCTAGGCAGGACACACTTTTCTCCTCAGAGAGAACCACATCTGGTCTAACCTGACCTAAGGAAGGAGGTCCCACGCTCCTGGCAAAACAAATACACAAGTCTCAGCATTTGTTTCCCTGTGCTGAGCAGAGACAGCACGAGCACAAGGCCCTGCTCACCAGCACTGCCTCTGTAACTCCCCACTGACAGTCTGTATCTCTCCCTGCTCAAGGCAACCTGGAAGGAGTCATAGGCAGCGTAGATGGATTCGCTGGCTGTCTGCAAATCCACACGGAGCTCGGAGCGGACGGGGCTGCTGCTCGTGAGGTTGTGCAGCTTGTCAAGACCTAGAAATAAAAAAACAATTACTCTTAAAAGGGTTCACCTTTGCAGTCCTAGGCTCTCACCCCATGGCCATTTGGGTTAAATCAGCTTTTTCCTGCCCCCCCCTCCTTCCCTGCTGGATGTTGTTGTGACATTTTGCCAAGTTTACTCTGTCTTATCTCAGTTTCTGGCCAGAGACAGCAGTATCAGAAAAAACAAACAGCCTTAACCAGCACAAGACTGGCTGTTCTGTGACATTATTTTTCCCAGAACATTTAAAGACTCTTGCTCCAAAAACCTTGCCCTATTTAATGCTGGATTCTCTGATTCACACACATTGCTCACCAACAGAACAAGACAGACAAAAAACAACCGAGTACACCACGTTGTGTGGAGTCTCCTGGTCTTTGCATTTTCACGAATAAAATTTCTTTATTTTCCCCTCTCATCAGAACACAAAAGGCTGAAATAAACCTTTACAGAATTTGGCTTGCTCTGGGACTGCTCCAAAGCCCAAAAATATCAGTGGAAATATTTAGTGGGCCTCTAAAGATCCCTCAGTGCTTCACTGGCATTGCTAGGGAAGACACAGAAGCTGGCAGTTCAAGACTGCAGGATCAGAGGGTTGGATATGGCACCATTTAGATGCTTCTACAAAGCCAATCTTTAGCTCTTCACTGGTTACACCCATGTACTGTACCAAGCCAAAATTCCCCAGTGGGATCTCCAAAGCCTTCCACATAATTCTTCCAGCGCTGGTAAAAATCCACCTCACCAGTGCTCCGCCTCTGAAACACCTGCAAAGCAAGGATTGTGGAGTGAGCTCATGAGGGAATAAGGAAAAACAAGGAGGATGAGGGTGAGAAATGCTCATCCTGACTTAAACACAGACAAAAAAGTGAAGCACTCAGGAAGAGACAACCCTAGTTGATCATGGAATCATTAAAGTTGGAAAACACCTCCAAGATCATCAAGTCCAACCTTGTGATGGCACATGACATTTGAGCACACACAGGAATCCATTTCCATTTTCTGGCTGCACAGAAGCACTGGGGTGAATACTTAGTTGTGCAAATTTTACAGTTTACTTTCCACAAATCTGAGCATGATCTAAACACTTAAACAAAACAGGCTTAGAGACAAGATGCACCAAAGTTAGAGGGGCTTGGGTAGTAACACACAGCAATTTAGTTCAGTAATCACTTATCACTGAAAATGAAAAGTGAAAAAGATAATAAACATATTTTTGTACTTCTGCCTGCAGATTCCTTCTAGCCACTCAACACCTCCTGTGTGGCCGGGTCCAGGTGTGTGCTCACAACACTAGCAGGTAAATACTAACAGGCATCAGCCGAACTGCATTAACTGTCATAACCCTTCTGGGATGACTCCTCCTTCCACTGCAAGGCTTAGGGTATAACTTTTTGTTGTGTGAAAAGCTTAGGCCTTTGGGCTTTTGCCTGAGCCTTTAAATCTGTGCCTTTGACTTAGACCCCTGTTGTGCCCATATTAAGACTCTCAGACCAAGTAAGTAGGAGCTTGTCAGGAGGCACTTCTTATCACTTCTGCAGCCACAAGATCAGCCTCTTATTGGAGAAAGCAGATAAGAGGTCAAGCATCACTTACTATTGTGTGTCCTTCTAGAGAGACAAGAGTGAAAAACTCTGGTTTAGTGCTGCTGACGTGGGTACATCAGCATTCACCACCCTCCCTAAAACATGCCACTCCATCCAGGCAGGAGCCATGACACAGGAGGGCAGCACTGAAAGGAGCCTCAGCTGACAGCAGTGTCATCAAAAAGCAGGAAGAGGAGCAGAGCATCACTCACTATCCACCCTCCTCCATCAGCAGCCATGTCACAGTACACCTGCAGTGGCCTGCTGCCATCCCCAGCCAGGTAAATGGTGTACACGCCGCTGGAGCCATTCCCATTCTGCTGCACCTGCCTGCAGTCCATGGGATACGGGTACAGGAGGCTCCCTGGGAGAAGAGAGGGGGCAGAACTCATCAGCAGAGCAGGCCATGGAGCTGGAGGAGGCACATCACGCCCTCAGGAAGCTCCTGTGGACAACGGTACTGAAGAGAAGTACAGAAAGCAGCAGGCCCTGCTGTGCCCTCACACGGTGTCCAGCTGCATCCAGAGGTTGCTGCTGGCAGCTTTCCCCATTGCCTGGGAACTGGCACATGGATGGAGTCCCCAGGGGCTGCAAGAGACAGAACCATAGAATCCCAGAACGGTTGTCATGGCACGGGTGCCACTCACTGGATCAGGTGGCTCAGGGCTCCATCCAACCTGGCCTCGAACACTTCCAGGGATGAGGCAACAACAGCCTCTCTGGGTCACCTTTGCCAGTGCCTCACCACCCTAAGAGAGAAGAATTTCTTCCTAACATCCAATCTAAACCTGCTCTCTTGTCAGTTTAAAACCATTGGCCCTTGTCCTGTCAGGATCTGCCCGGACAGAACGACCCAGCCTTGGCTTACAGTGACAGTGGAAGAGGAGCCCTTGTTTATAAAGGTGAGAGTGCATTTCACAGTTAATCCACAATTGGCAGCCCTGTGGGCATTGGCAGAGTATGAGAGTCTCCCAAAGCAGGCTGGCATGAGATTTGTTTGGTTTGCTACCCAATGTGCTGAGAGTACTTACGCTGCTGTGCCCTGCCATTACTGGGATGTGCAGAAAGATCTCCTGTGTATCATCCTCTCTCCTGCCCACTGGCAGCTCACCAGCAGCCTTTGTCTCTCACTTGGCTACCAAGGCTTGCCAGCAGCACTGACCAGCGTGGGCAATCTCCACTCACACTGTCCCTCTGTGCTTCCAAGCCTCCAGATGGTGGGGCTTAGAAAGGCCACCCAGCCAGGAGACACACCACTGACTTGCTGTATGGTTTGCTTACGATCACAGTTTGCCAATGCATCTGCAGGACACGAACTCCATCTGCAACCTCTACCACAAAACACAGCAGCTGCAGAGCACAGGGAAAACATAACATGCAGGGCCAATCCCTACCTGTTGAGAAGGAACTGACTGTCCTTCTGCTCTGGTGATCTCCCTTGTAGGCCTTCACAAAGACAGTGTACCTCACTCCTGGCTCCAGGCCTTCCAGACAAACCGTTGTTTGCTGGGATCCAGCTGTACTTCCTGCCAAGTAATACATATCAAAGGTCAACCCAGCTCTGAACAGCATTTGTTTAGCTCTCCTGCACCACAGTGCCTCATACCCCATGTGCATTTACAGGCTTCTCTTGTAGGGTTCAAACAGCCTATCCCTCAAACATGGAATCCATCTTCTCAGAAGGGAGATTTAGGGCAAGGTCTCAAGAAACACTCCTAGGACACTCTGTCCTTAATGAGTGCTGTCCTTCCAGCTAATAAAAAGGTAGAGAAGTGAAGAGGTTTTCTGCATCTGGATCTGCTGGGAAGAGACATTACACTGTCACAAAGTCCTTCCACAGCTTCTACTCATGACAGGAGCACATCTCCTTCCTTAAACTCTCGCTCTCTACGCCATACATAGCATAGATTCCTGCTCAAAATTGTTTTCCTGTGGTCCACATACCCACAAGACCCAATTGGCACAGCCCACAATCACAGGAGTGATTTCAGGGGGGTCTGCAGGACTGAAGAATTCCAGGAATTCACCGTACCTCGCTTGTGCCACCCGGACCCCGGTAGGTCAGGGAGTAGCCATCGATCTGTGCTGCAGGAGGAGCCCAGGTAACCACACCAGTAGAATGAGTCACCTCTGACACACAGAGGTTCTTGGGAGGATCAATCCCTATTGAAAAAGAAAAGTCAAGTCCTACTGCATAAATGACTGAGAGCCCCTTCCCCTTGTTCCCCTCCTGCAGATGAAGAATGACTTCACAGTGTTGTCGTGCCTCAGCTTTCTTTGGTGAATGCAGGAACTTAAAGAAACCCAGAGCTTCACAGTTCAGTCTCTGCTGGATATGGGACACCAGCTCCTTCACCGGCAACAAAGGCTTAGCCAGACTTTTCCTGAGCACTCAGACTGCACAAGGTCAGCATGAGGAGAAGAAATGAATTATTTTAATGCAACACGAGTTCACAGCAGCTATCAAAAAGCTTCTGACAAGGTCCCCACACCAGGGCTGCAGTGCTTCCCTCGGGATAAATAAAATTTTTAAATATCCATTAAAAGTAACAGCAATGGAAGCAGCCTCTCCCTAATTCTCATCCTGTGCTTGCTGTATTCTACGTATTTTGAGAACATCTTCAGGAAAACAATTTGAGAAGTAAGGTTTGTCTGACTTTGGAAGTTTTAGAGAGAAGGTCCCTGGTGGGCAGTGCTGGGCTCCAGGGATGGGTGCTCCAACCCTGAACTACACCTGAGTTTATTTTAAACTACAACTGAATAATTCATTTCAATTCCCTGCTCGTCCACAAGCCTCCCTGGAGGACTGTGAGCATGTTGTTGTCTGTCAGTTCAGTTCTTCTCTGTATAAACCAGGCAACAAAGCCTCCCAGGCCTTGAAGAGTGCTGCAAGCACAAACACAGCAACAATTATAATGCATCAGTGAAATAGGACAGTTGTGAAAAGGTCATGGAGAAAGCCAAGGCCAAGTTTTGCCTGTCTTATTTTAATGAGATGAGTGGAGCAGGGTGGCTCCTCCCAGGAAACGCTGCACTCCTTATGCAAAAAGTTACTGCTTAAAGCAGATTAAAAAAGGCAGAGAAGAAGAAATCAAAACGCCAAGTAGAGGGACAGGGACGGTAATGCTGTATTTCACACACCATGGTGTTTAAAACGCTGGCTATTCCTTACAACCCGAGACCACCTTTCACTGAGTTAAGCATTATCCATCACCTGACGAACTCGGGCTTCGCTTGGGAGAGCACTAAACACTTGCTTTAAGTAAAACACAGCCCAGAAACCTCCTCAGAGCAGCTCACTGCCTGCGTACCTCCCGCTGGACAGGAGAGGGAGCTAAAAGGAACGAATTCCATGCCCAGAAGCCAGGGCTGGGAAAGGAAGGCTCAGAGGCTGCAGTCCCGCAGCGCTGCCCTTCAGGACCAGCCGGCAGATCCCGTGGGAGCAGGAGGTCCCCGCAGAGCAGCTCCCCGCCACAGCCACTTTGAATGCTTGGGAATAATCAGCCACCACCTTGAGTGAGAAAATGTACTCTTTTTTTTTTTTCCTCGGGAGTTGTATTATTTTAGCAGAGGTGTCATTTTTTGTGAAGATGCTTCAAAAATATCCCTACTAATGCTATAAATGCATTCCCTCTCCCAGCAGTTTCACTTTGTGAGAAATTTCCAGGTGCCTCTGTTTTCATGGCAGTTCAAAAAAAAAAAAAATCTGAAATTGCCAAAACACTCCCTGCATTTCTAGTTCCAGACAGGTTTGGCCTTTTGACCTCGAGAGATCTCCATTTGTCCCCATCAGCTGCCCTCGACCACTGCAAGCACTCCTTGGCTTGCCCTAAATTCAAGCTTCAACCCATCTATCTCACACCAGCTGGATTCATAAACTAAAAATAAGTACATTAACAAGGTCAATGGATAGGGAGTGACCCTGAATGTTCCCAGTACATCACAGTCCTTATGGCTGACCGAACAGGACAGATTTCAGCCTGCCTGGCAGTCTCCTACGACAAGCCTAAGGTCACGAGTCAAAGGGCAGGCCATTATTTTTAACTGTCTCCAATTCTAAAATGGTTTCACTTTGGTTGTTACACTTCTGTTGTTGTTGGGCTTGGTAGCAGCACATGAAACACTGTGTGCTTTTGAGGAAGGACTAGTGAAACAAGGACCATCAGCTGTCATCACTCTTGTATTACAACATCTGCCTCTTTTAGAATCACCTACAGCGTTAGTCTCTGTTATGGCAGCCTATAGGCAGGTATTTATACTATTACATTTAATAATTTAAGTGGATTGCTGTGTAGAGATAACATAGGTGTTTGGAGAGAGACCTGGAAGCACTTCCACAGACATGCCTGAACTCCCTGTTTTGGGAGAGGGAAGATTAAAGCTCAGAGATCATGGAAAAGCACAGAGGAGATCACAGCGTGGTAGTAAACTGCGTGTCCAGGATGGGCTAAGCCTAATGGTGCCTGATCTCTGAGCTTACACTCAACAAAATCTACTGTCCACTCACCTGTCACAGCCTCAGTGCTGACCCTCTTGCTCTGCTGTTCTCCCTTCTCTGCCCAGATGTAAATGATGTACTTCGTGCCTGGCTCCAGTCCTGCCAAGGTAGTGACGTTCTTGTCTTCCTCCACCTCTCTGTGTCCCCATCAGCTGAGGTGTAGCTCACTCTGTATCTGTCTATTGACGCCTGCACTTTGTTCCAGGAAACAGCAATTGCATTCTCTGTCACTTGGTCAGATGACAGTTCAGTTGGGCTGTCGATTTCTGTAAGTAAAATTCACAATTACTAGAAGTTTTAGTGTAGTGCTGTGGTAATCACAGCAGCCCAAAGACACAGACAACACAGACAACACAGTTTTTTCTCCAGCCCAAACCGGTAAATCTAACAGAAATTTTACCTTTAGCTACAAACTGTGTTTTGATCATGCAGTGTAAATAACAAGTAACCACTGGATATCACCATTCATGGAGCCAAATCGTTTTGTTCTGCTGGACACAGCGCAAGGAAGATAAAACAAGGGATGCTAACTGCTTCCATGTCCTGCCACTCCCGGCACATTGGTAACCACACCTGCGTGCCAGTGCCTTGGCACAGTCAGTCATCCCTCGCCCTGCACTGGGTGAGCTGGGCTGCTGGTTTCTGTTGGCAGTGAAGAACACAAGTGTCCCAGTGAGGCTGCTCTTACTCCTTCCTCTCAAGGGGCCTGCTGATTTCCTCCACCTCTCACCCTTTATTTCTCACCAAGCTTTGAGGTGCCCAATTCTGAGGTATTTCAGTTGGGCTCCAGGTCTCCTCTTCAGCTACAAGAGCCAACCCTGCCCAGGCAGAGAGAGAGCCCAAGCAGAATATGATGTTCCTGACTTTTGCTTCCTGGAGATCACCACTTCTTGCATGAGTTGTTCCAGGAATTAAGCCAAAAAAAAAAAAAAAAAAAAAAAAAAAAAAAAAAAAAAAAAAAAAAAAAAAAAAAAAAAAAAAAAAAAAAAAAAAAACCAAACAACAACAAACAAATCACCTGCTCACAGTCTGTGAAATGCAGCTCTCCTGGAACAAGATTATTTCACCTTCAATCTCCTCCCACTATTACAATCATTCCCCTGCCCTGTTCACAGATGGAAACACATGACTAGATTTCAGGAGCATTAAGTTCTTATCACAACACAGCCTGCAGGAATGTGGCCCTTTGAGGGCAGCCCTACAGCCCATGACCTTATGCAGAACATGTTTTTTGTTTGGCTTTTTTTCCTTTGCTGAACTGCTAAATACATCTTGGCATCCTGACCAATGAAGGACATGCAGATGCCTCTCCAATTATTGGAGCAGCATTTCTTATTCTGCTGGAGGCTCTAAACTCCAGGGCACAAATGCACAACCCTCTGACAGCCACACTGTAATTTAGCACACACCAGCTTCGCTGCACTGTGATTTACCACACATTAGCTATGGTAAAAGTTGTGATTTTCCACCTGGGTGTACTCATCTCCCCTCTTTTGTCAGACAAAAACATATTACTTTTCATTTTAATGAAAGATGCTGTTTGTGCCACCCCAGAGTGGCACAGGCTGGGAGCTGGGAATTTGAATAATCACAGCTCAGCTCGTTAGCAGTATGAGATGCTCACCTGTGGCAAGAGAAAAATGAAGCAGGAATGATTTTCCTGTGTGATATGAAAATCAAGTTTGTTCTTTAGTTCTGATTGCACTGCAGCTGGGTATGGGCTGTGCTGCTCTTCACGTGCAGTGCTTTTAACTCCTTAACTCCCTGGCTGGGCCAGGAGCTTCCCAGCCATGTACCAGTGGGAACAGGGACTGCCTCAAGTAGGGGATGGACTGAGCCCTCACGTGGGAAGTTCAGACAGTCCAACAAATTCCCTGAGGCAGCTCCTGTTGTGTCCAGTCCAATCTGTACGTTTAAATGTGTTGGTGAACACCCTGAGTGGAGCATCCCAAGCACTCCCCTAGGTCATTTCGGTGTAGAAGTGCAGGTTGTACATAGCGAAGATGCTGGTGAGCAGTCAGTGGAACCTGCTCTTGTACACACAGCCACACACGGCTGGCTGGATTGTACAAACTGATCAAGACAGTGGTTCAGGGAGTCTCCCAGCCCAGCTGCTGCTGCAAGCACCCTTCCAACAGAGACTCCCTGTCACCAAAGGACAGCGACCAAATGTCCTCTTTGGGAGATTTGGTTCCCCCCATAATTCTTAATTTATGCCATGATCCAAATAAATCTGGGGTTCCATTTTAACAAACGCTCTGATTGTATGTGCAAAATGGGTATGAGCCCCCTGTTCTGTTGGGAAAGGCCACAACAGTCACCCAGAGAAAAGCTTGGAGATGATTCATGTCATCTTAAAGGCAAGGTATGGACTATACATTCCAACTGGTTATGAGGTTTTAGTTTGGCTGGATTTCACTGTTCTCTGTACTGACAGTAACCATATCACACAGGAAAATCATTCCTGCTTCATTTTTCTCTTGCCACAGGTGAGCATCTCATACTGCTAATGAGCTGAGCTGTGATTATTCAAATTCCCAGCTCCCAGCTTGTGGCTGCCCCACTCCATCCCCTCAAGAAAGGCACCCATGAGAAACCAGGGTGGGGAGGAAGCAGGACTGTTCCACCATTTAGATGAAACTTTCCATTTTTACTGCAAGAAGAGCTCACAGGCTGCCTGTCTCACCTTCCAAAGGAACCAACCTGAGGATTACCTCCCAGCTCCAAGCCCAGGGCTCACCCTTCCCCTGCTCCACCCTCAGCCATCTGCTGCTCCTCCCTCTCTGCCCACCCTGTAGATCTGTCTCTCAGACTCCCCCCAGGCTTTGCTATTTTAGGTGGTGAATCAGAGTTCAGTGGTAGCTCTTGAAGAAGCTGGTATTTGTCTTAGCTGCACCTAAACTCCAGGGGTTACATAAGAACACGAGCAGGATTACTCATCGTGGATTTTTTTTTCCCTTTTTTAAGAAGTTTTGCAGCCCCCATGTCTGTCAAGAACAGCTCGAAAACACAAATCATGGGTGTTCCAAATAATCAGAACCTACACAGGGCAGAGGAGCAGCCTTACAATGGCAGTGTGGAGGTTGCAGGTTCTCTTGTTCAAAATTAGTTTTCTTTTAATGGACTAATCTTCCAAACAACCTCAGGAAAATGTCAAGCCTGATAAGGGATTTTTCAGTCTTTGGAAGCAGCACACCTACCCTTTTGTAAGAGCTGAATTTCAGAGACTCCAGAATCTTATAGGTAGAATGACAGTTCAAAATTCTTCAAGTTCTCTTTTGCAACAGGATAGCTCAAAAATATTCTGCCTTTTTTTCTTAAGAGTCAATGATCCAACAGGGTTGTTATTACACACAGAGGCCAATTTATTATGCTTATCCTGTGTCTAGATGGAGCTGTTAATCAAATTGAGGGTGAAATTACTGGGGGCTTAAAAACCAAGGCAAAAGATTGAGCTCAACGTAGGTTTGGTGTCCAGTATACACTGTAGGCAAGCTCAAAGTATCAGCAGACCTGCAGGTGATGCAAGAAGAAGCACCAGAAGGTGCACCTTTTGTGCTGGAATCTTGACAGACCTGTCCCCAAACCCTGCAGTAACATTACTGTAGTAAAAACAACTTCCCACTTACCAGTCCTCCCAGCCACTGAGGATGGCTCCCCCTCTGTGTTGTCTTTCACAGGTATGACAGTGACCTCGTACTCCGTGCCAGGCTTCAGTCCTACAAACACCAAATCACCAGCAATTAGGGAAGGCAGTATTTTTTCTTGAATAAAGCTGGGGTTTTTAGTCCATCGAGTTCTAGATTTATAGGAGAGAAGAACTTGGAGTTCAGATTTCTATCCAACTTCCTTTTGTCTTTTTGATGAGAGAAGAATTGTCTCAGGACTGCGGTCTGACTGTCAGTCACTCCTGTCACTTTTCCTTGCCCCTGCCCAGTTTGGAATACCCACACATACTCACCAGTCAGGATGTATCTGCTCTTAAGGTCATGGCTTTTGGGCACCATGACCTGCTTCTCATCCATCTCTACCAGGGATCTGAATTTTAGCTTGTAATAATCCACATCTGATGGTGGGTTCTCCCACTCCACTTCCATTGAGTGCTCCATCTCCTCTGTCACCCAGATGGCACTGAGTGCAGACAGGGCTGGGAAGAACACCAGAAAGCCATGAGGAAGCAGCATCAGGTAAATAGTAAAAGGTAAATATGAGACAAAAGTCCTCCTCCCTGCCCAAGTGCCTTTCTGAGACCTGAGACATCTTCCTCAGCCATGCTGAGGAGTTCAGCAAGTACAGCACAATCATTATTTCACCAGCCTTGGTTTAATCCACGGTAACACTCCAGCTCTAAAGTTTTCTGGCTCTCAGCTCCCACCTCTTGTGCTACAAACAAGAAAAATGCAAAATCACCAAATTTTTCACTGTTTTTACCAAGTGCAAGCAGACAGCATAACATATTAACAGCTGCTAACCAAATGGCATTTTGGTTCTTGAGAGACTGCTTCAAATACTGCTTTCCACACAACCTCCTAAGCTCAGCAGGATCAGGCTCATTCAGTCCTGGGAAGAGACTAGGAGAACTTGCTGCTACAGACATGTTTGAAGAACTAGTGGCTAGAACTGACATCCTGCTCACCTTGTAGTGCCTTCTGCATCCAGTTGAACAGCGCATTATTCTGAAAAACATGCTTAAAAACAACCACGACAGAAAACTGTAGGCTGGGAAGAGAAAGCGCTCTCCAGCACTCAGTTCGCTCCAGCTGTTGGAATCTAAAGATCTGCCACATCTGACTCTGATGAAAAATACTGTCTGCTCCTCCTACCTGTGCTTGCTTCTAGATCCTTGGGCTCACTGGCAATGGCCTTCTTCACGTGCCGAAGTGCGACGCTGTACGTGGTGCCAGGGCGCAGCCCCACGATCTCGGAGCTGAGCTGCTCTTTGGGAACATGGATTTGTCTCACCAACATCTCATCCCCAGCTGGATAATAAGTAAGGAGGTAATTATCCACATCAGCCACTGGATCCCAGCTGAGAGCCAGAGAGCTCTCTGTGGAGTTCAGCAGCTGCAGGTTCCGGGGGGCAAGCGCTGGAAGAGGAAGAAAAACGTTGCAATGCGATGATGTCACATGGCCAAGCATGAAATTTTTTCAAACCTATTTTGAATAAGAAAGTGCAGAACTGGAGCTCCCAGTCTTTAGTCATCTTGGATGTATCCATATCTTCCTGCTCAGCAGCAGACCATTAAATACAAATGAATACTGCAGTCAGTAGCAAATACAATGATTTTGTGGGCGACTCTTTACAGCTTCTAAACCCACACTGACATGAGAAAAACTCTCTCATAGAGCTGTCCCTTCTAATGCATCTCAGAAGAGAAAGACAAGCCAAAACCCTCTTTTCCTATCACTGCCAGCCATTTCAAAATGTTAGCTGCTCTCCAATTCTGGGGAATGCAGCTTCTCCGTGGCAGAGGCAGAAAACTGAACTTTTCCCATTGAGTACTGATGGAAGCTTGTACTTGGTGCCTGGAGGAGATCTGGGCAGACCTGCTGCCTGTAATTTATTTCAGAACACCAACAGTGCCTTCACTGTTTTGCCACAAGACAGACAGCTCATCAGTGTCTTGAAGCAGCCCTTGAAAGCAGTCAATGTAGAGCATCTGTTTACCACCAAGTTTACCTGATTTTAATTACAAGTGAGCACATCGAAGCTGATCAAACCATCTACAGCTGTATTTCATTAGCAAGGCACTAACTGAGAGTGAAAAATAGATAGTAAGTGCCTGTAAAAAGGCATGTGTCAGCAACATGAGTTCATATACCATCAGCAGATTCTTCTAACGTGAAAGGCAGCATTCATTCCCATGTGCCACTCCCAGCTTTCACCAAACACACCTTTATTTTCCTCTGTGCATGCCACTGCTTTTATTGAAAATTTTGCACAAAACCTGAGACTGTTCATCCTGTCTCTTCTTGGGAGATTTGAATAACCCAGCTTTGCAGTAAAATAATAAAGAACCTAAATACGCGTGGTGTGGTTTTTTTCCTTGTCTAAGCAGAGTTGGGAAGAGGATTGTATCTGCCTCTCTGCTGTTCAACATGTCCTTGTCCTCTATTTGTCCTTCAGAAGGAACTGCAAGGCATTCATTATCCTGTGGCATGCTTGATAGCAACTTCTAAATGCTCAGACCCTCCAGTTACCATGGCAATACATAACAAAGTATGTCATTTCATGATCTGAGACAAACAAAAATAGGATATTATAATAATAATGATGATAAATAAACAAAACCGGTGCTCAGTGTAAGTCTCCCAGGATGCAAAAATCTAAGCCAGACTGGAACAAAACAGGCAGTTTGACATCCCTGGGAGAGGAGCACCTGGCTACAGCTGCTGAGGTGGGAACCATCTGCCTTAGGACTTGGAGTTTTTAAGCAGGACTGGAGGTGCAGTGCTCAGAAACAGTAACAAAATGCGTTGTGCTATCTGCATTATCTCCGTGCTCACTCAGAACAGAGAACACTTTCTCAGCCTGTAAAATAGCTGCAGGTGGGGTGGAAGGAAGAAGGTGCAAGGCTGGATCCAGCCAGCCCTTTGGGAGACAGTTCTCTGGGAGAATTGTTTCTCCTGTGGGAGAAACCCCTCTGCTTGCCACCTCTTGCTGCTTCCTGAGCAGCAAATCTCACTCTACTGACAGGGGAAAGGAGTGCTGGAGCCACAGGGAAACACTTCTGGATAGTGTGGAAGGGGTGGGAGGAGTGAAGTTTTGATCCAGAGTTCTGTTCTGGGTGAAGAATTTGAGCTAATAATCTTTTATTTGAAAGGTGAGTCTCTAAGCAGATAGATCAAGCATGATCCAGAGCAGAACAAAGCTGGGAGTCAGGTCCCTGCAAACCCTCACTGAGCAACACCTGCTGCTCAGTGTGTGGCTGTTACCTACCTCTCCTTCACAGGGAGCTGTGAAAGATTAATGATGTGCTGAGGAAAGGCACTTCCAGGGTAAAAGGCCGTGTGCTGAAGCCTGGAGTACCAATCTGTGGATGTAGGGAGGCTGTAAGTTTTGCAGAATGAAGCGGAAGCCGCTGGACACTCCCCTTCAAGGTCAGCTCACTCAGGTCTCCTCAGGCAAATCCTACTGCCTTGTAACAAAGCAAGATAAGGGAGAACTTCCCAAAGAACTCACTTCAAAGGATTTACATGCCCTTTGTCTCACAGGTGTTATTAAATCAACTCCCCCATCGGCAAGCAGTGCACACTTCCACAAACATGGTTTTACACTCTCTCATTTTACGTCAAGAAGCAGACTGCCTCCCTCTCTAATTACAGGCTCCATGCCCGTTTTGCTCTCCCTTTCAGCTGCTGAACACAGGCTGGTGCTAGTGCTACCTTGAGTTGCATTTCCACCTTTTCCCATTTCAGCAATGTTTTCCAGGCAACTCTTGAAGGCAAGGACCACTCAGGCAGCCTTGTCCATCTGCCCCAGCTCCACCGTTGCCTTTCCCAACGCATTTTCCTGTGGTCGGCAGGAATGCAGGTTCCAGGACCACCCCAGAGTCAATTAGGAAGCTTTGCACCTCTGACCTGAATCTTCCTGTTGTAATTTAAGCTCACCATTTCTCACCACAGTTACTATTAAGATGGAGAGCACGTTATTCCCATCTGCCATACACCTGTGTTTTTCATGTGACCAAACACTTGGCACTTTCCCTGTGTCCATTCCACAAAAAACACCAGTTTGTTAAACCTTTTCTTAGAGGCCATGCAGTATGGAACTGTGATCCCAGGCAGTGGCCACTGCAAACCATCATCACCCTAAACTCTGCTCTTCTGTTAGTCACTTAGCAAAGAGGAAAGAAAAAGACAAATTCTCAACAATGGCTAAATTCTAGAAGCAAAATTGAGAAAGAAAAAGACAGCAATAAGAAGTGCCTCCCTCATCTTTCACCCTGCTGTCCACCAGAAAATCCTCTACTGAATCCTCCCACCTACATGAAACTCAGGAATGTGTTTCCTCCCACTTCTGAAAGATGCCTGGGGAGATTTCCCCTGTGCTGGTTCCAGAAATGTTATGTACTGCCCCATTTTGGGACCTCCAAATTTCCTCTCACATCCCAGAAAGCAGGGAACCATCCCATGGGAAGGGCTCAAGTATTTTGCTCATGGAGAACCCCCCCTATTGTTGAGAAATGATTCCAGTCCCCAGATCTCTGCAGTGAATAAATAGGCTGTGCCTGGGAAGTCAGAGCAGATACCACAATTATTACTTACCTGGGCTTCCCCCACAGCACTTTTGAGGGCTGCAAACTTCCCTCAGCTCTGCCACTTCCTTCTCAAGCTTCTCCATCCTTTCCAACAGCTCCTCGACGTGGGTCAAAGTTCCACAGTTCCCTTTGGGTGCGTGCACACGGATGTTGTGCCTAAAAATTATATTCTGCTCATTTTCCTCAGCCTCTCCAGGATCCAGCTGCACCCCACTGCTGTCTCCATCATGCTGTGATGGATCTGCTTCCACCTTAACCTGGGAGGACGTGGGTAGGTCAGTCCTATAGGAGTGGCTGAAGGATATTCTTTGAGCATCACTGGTGCAGTTGGGAGGTGTGGGATGCTGAGCAGCAGATGTCTGAAGGGCACAGCACAGCAATAACTCCACTGGGAAGACAAGCCAGCTCTGGAAATCCATCTGGCAGGTTTTCAGAGGGAATGCTGACCATTCTAACAGCACAGCTGCTTTGGGGATGAAAAAAAAAATAAATAAATGTAAGAAGTGTGATCCTAAAGCTGCTTTTCACGATTTTCCAAAGAACAAATTATCTGTTTTGCCCTGATTCAGAACCAGGTTGGCAAGTACCTGGGAAAGAGTCACACTGGATGAGTTAAAGAGCTTCTAGACCTTCCAACTAGGAACTCTAAGTTTGCAACCTTCAGTCTCCAGCACCTTGCATGGTGTTAACCTCAAAGCCTGATAACTGTGCTGATGCTGTGCACATGAAGAATTCAGAGAGCTGACACTGATCTTTTGCTGCAGGAAGTTTGGGAGATAGTTTTGCCCACTTTACATTACTCTTCTAACATAGCACATGGCCCACACTGTTATTTGGATTTGGGAGAATAAAAAATTCTCTCCTTTTGACACCAGTGCACCGGCATTTTGTGTGTCTGAACACTGGCTTCAGCTGAGGGATTTCAAGTTTATTTTGCTTGGACTCATTTATCTGATTTATCATCTTAGCACTGGGCAAGGTTCATTTAGAAGCCACTAGAGCACATCTGTTAACACACGGAGTAAGAAGTGCTGGAAACCTATTTGTTTTCCTGTATTTTTATTTCAGAAAGAATAGTTCTTTCCTACCCTGCATAAATATAAAGGCAGAGCTTGTTTTCAGGCTAAGGCTCAAAACTAAGGCTTAAAAATACATAAAATATCACTGTTAAACTTCACTGACATTTACAGGTCAAAAATGAAGTTCAAGTGTTTAAAGTCTTCGGGTCTAGTCTTTGACAGAAACAAAACTGTTTTCTGTGATAGTTTTGTGCTGTCAACCAAGCATTTTGGACTAAATGAACACCTCACAGACAAGAATAACAGGAAGGAAGAAGCTGAACAAGCAGGGGTGGAAGGCTAAAATATAAAGTCAGAATCCTAAACTTCTCAGTTGGCTTATTCAACATTACACACTAAGTGTTGGCATTAATGGTAGATGTCAATCTGTACAGGAGATGATATTCTTGGTTAAAAACTTGGTTAAAAACTTAGAACTTCACACCAAATGCAAAATGCCACCATATGGGACTTACTAAGCAGTCACATTATTCATTGCACAAGTGGAAGAAAAATAATATTTAAGTGCTAAGTTAGGTAATGTGATAACTAGAAAGGACTTGGCCAATGTGCATCCACAGTAACAGCACATCTGAACTCAGTGCTGTCCTGATATATATATATAAAATATATAATAATAATAATTTAGAATCACGTTTCTGAGAGTCATGCAGTCCTGACTGATGAGGAAAGTGAACTTACCTCTCCTAAATATCTGCCAAACCTCAGGAAACATCCCTACCATTAGATTCCTACCTCCCACTGGCAGCACAGCTATAGGAAGGTGTCCTTCCTGCTCAGAGACACGAGGCTTGGGTTTCTAACAACAAACCAAAGCCCCCCACCACTGAAAATACATCTTACACCTGACTACCTGTGTTTTGCAGGCCACCCGAGTGCAGCTCTTCAAGCAAAATCATCACCCACACCAACCAAAACAGGGTATGGATTTTGAGATCCAGCCTGCAATTCCTTATCTCACAGCCTTGCAGGATATTAGGGGGAATTTCTGCACTGAAAAGGTGGGCAGGCACTGGCACAGGCTGCCCGTGGCAGTGGTGAAATCACCATCCCTGGATGGACTTAAGGGAGATGTAGGTGTGGCTCTTGGACATGGTTTAGTGATGGGCTTGGCAGTGCTGAGTTAATGGTTGGACTTGAGCTCAGAGGGCTTTTCCAACCTTACAAATTTTAGATGAGGTCCCCAAGCAGGCAGACATGTGCACAAAATCCCTCTGCTCAGCACCAAGCGATTAATGGCATTCTGGGTTCTAGCATGATGTCATGAATAATTAGGGCTTTGTGGAAACCACAAACTGATCTCAGATTTTCCTGGGCTTAGAGATCACTCAGGAGGAAAAACCTCTAAACTTAAGCATTTCTATCAGGCATAATAAAAGAGAACAGCTCCTTTTGGCTTCCTCATCATGTAATAAAGAGATTTTCCCCTGCTGTTAAAAAGAGTAGGTTTAACTGCCTCTTTGTGGAGAATATCATGTCATACACATAACTGGCAATAATAGCAGATTAGGGAAAGGAATAATTTAGGGAAGAGTGCCTAACAGTCAGATCTAGCAGGCACAGAACATCATCCTAAGGGAAGGGATGGAAGAAGCCTTGCTCGTACCTTTCCAGCCTTTGCAGAGGAAAGCAGGGGATGATCAAAGTCAGCCAGCATTCTGTTTTCAATATTATGCAATCTTCATTGAAAAAATGATTGCAATTAATCCTATCAATGACTGCCAACAAAAAACCCCCACAACAACCAAAAAAACACCCCAAAACAAAAACAAACAAAAAAACCAAACCCAAAACCAACCAAACAAAAAAACTAAACCAAACCACACCAAAAAACACCACATCCTTAATTTAGCAGGGTTGCTTCTTTTGCAGGTATCTACCTTTTTTTATTTCCAGACTGAATGAACCTTATCTATCACTCCAGAAGTTTGGGATGATTTGAAATAGTTAACAGAAAAACAGAATTATAATCAGCCACGGGGGTACTGTGGTTCTAGATTCATCATTATATTTACCTCTTCTTTCATGCCAATTCTTCTTCAACGTCTGATAAGCAAGATGTGTTGACTGTTCATATATGAATGAGAGATTGCTTCTGAAATCCTACATATTAATGTGCAGAGAGGTTAAACAGTATTTCCATATTTCCTCATTAGTATAAATATGCATTTTGTTACAAATGACTCAGCTCCCTTCTGTTAAATCAGTGACTTCCAGTTTAGCTCAGTCTTCCCTGAAGCAAATCTTTGCTCTGTCGCCAGCACGGCTCAAAAATTTTGTAACTCCCATATTGGATCAATTTTACTTAGTCAGTGATAGACATTTTTACTATAGATAGTATAATCAATAAAGTACTTTTACTGTGAAAATAGTGACAAATTTCATTTTATGTAGCAAAGAAATTAGACTCATAGAATCCTGGAATTGTTGGGATTGGCAGGGACCCTAGAGCTCATCTCATTCCACCCCCTGCCATGGGCAGGGACACCTTCCACCAGCCCAGGTTGCTCCAAGCCCCGTCCAACCTGGCCTGGGACACTTCCAGGGATCCAGGGGCAGCCACAGCTTCTCTGGGCAACCTGTGCCAGGGCCTGCCCACCCTCACAGGGAGGAATTTATTCCTAATATATAATCTAAACCTATCCTCTTTCAGCATAAAGCCATCCCCCCTTGTCTTAATTTCTGCTGGCTTTCAGCACTCTGTGAAAAGGTGCACGGGAAGGCACAGGAAGAGCTTCTAGATAAGAAAATATTGAGTAATAACCAAAGAGTGTCCGTTGCAATTATAAGAGATAAGTGTGGTCAAATTGCAGCTTTTAAACCAAATACTATCACACAGAACTCAGAGCCCAACATGGAAATTCCTAGGAACAAGCATTCTGAAACAATTCAACCTTAGCTCCACTAGATCCAAAGGCAGAACTCCCACATACATTAGCAGATGTGTGGTTTCATTTGGTTGGAGGAGACAACCTGGGAAGGCTTAAGCAAATGCAGTGACATTAAATACTACTGTGTGTTTTGCAGTGATAATACATGCCCATAATACAGGATTATTGGTGTTTGTGTAAGGCTTTCAAAGCCTTGGAGGGCATCTGCAATGAGAAGTCAGACAGAAACCAGCCAGGTTTTCCACTCAGAACAAACAAGAGGAATCTCAAAGGAAATAAAAACACTTTTCTGTTACCTTTCGAGTACTTTCAGCTGTCGGGTTCAGAGCCCTTCCAATGCAGCCACCACTTGAAAGGTAAGCTGAAAAAATCACTGTCCTCTTGTGTTCCCACTCCAGCTGCAGGAATTGAAGTCCCCAGGGACCAGACGAAAGAACCAATAGAGGCCTCGGGGTATTTCCCTCCTACAAACCACCTAAGGAGCACGCTGGGTTTGGGAGCAATTCCCCATCTCAGTGTCAGTCTTGCACACCAACAGGAAGAACCATTCTCTGTTTGTTTTATGCTCTGCTACTGGTCAAAAGCCAGAAAGCCTCTCCAGCCTGGTAAATCTAGCTGAAAACGTCCCAGGAATGCTACTGAGACTCTCATACTGACAAGCACATTTATAGTATGAGGAGAAATTCAGGTGGAGTAAAATCAGAAAGAAAATAAAACACTTCTTAAACTCAACACTGTACTTATCCAGCACAACACTTAAAAAAACTCCCCACAGAACTTATAAGAGAGCAAATTACATGTTGTAGGCAGCATTAAGGTACCCACACAATTATTTTAACCACATACATTACCGAGCCCAGTTTTTAGCTAACAAACTCCCAGTGAGTTCCTTTGCTTTACTCCAACCAGAAGCTGAAGGCAGCAGCCCAAGGGTTATCAACATGCATCACCAGCTAATCTCAGCTGGGGAAGTGCCCATCACACAGGTGATGCTGTTCAGCAAGGCAGAGATTCAGCCCTGGCTGAAGAAACAGTTCTCCTTCCCACACTCACCAGTTCCTCCCACATCTGGACCATCTAAAAAACGCAAAAGGGAAAGTGAACTGAAATACTGTAAAAAAGAATGAATGCTGTAACATCCAAATACCCTCTGATCACACTCCCTGCTTTATTTGTTGGGCTGATACTCCCCTGATCACTTTTACCAGCTGGAAAGCTGGTACCAGACTTGCTATGACCCTGCAAACACCAGAAAGCTGTTTCCAAGCCAGCCATGCATCAACACATCCCAGAACCAGGGTCACAAACAGCCCCAGGTCTGAACTGGATGCTCACAGAGGGTTGCAGCCCACCGGCTTGTTGCAGTTTGGTCAAGGCTTGTCTGGGGCATAGGCCTGAAAAGGCCCCTGCCAGAAACAAGTCAGGGCTTGTCAGAGCTAAGTTGGGACTGGTTAGACATTAAGGCTGTGCTGACCAAAAAGAAACAATAAGTCAAGCAGAACCGGAGACAAGAAAATTTGCAACTAGAGATAGGATGTAATCTGGTGGTGGGATTTAATTACACGATGTTTACAGTTAGGTAAATGGATTAACAGTCAGGTAAA